TAACGTTACCCAATCATCAGCAAGATGGAGAGGTACAAAAAATCTAAGGGAAAGATTTTTCGGTACATATTGGGAAGAAAAAGCAAAATCCTGGGGTGGGAGTATGAAGGATGGGACAAGAGTTGGATCAATAACTTTATGTATGAAGTAGAAGAACCAGATCAGGCTAATTGTACCATCATGATAGATTGGAGTCAACAGCAAATGTTAAGTGAAGAACATAAAATTCAAATAAGTTTTTTTTGTGTGTGTGCGTGTGTGTGTGTTGGTTGTTGCTACTGCTGCTGTTTGTTGTTGTTATTTTCTTTTATTTTGCATTTAGTTATTAGAATTATCATGCCAAATCGTGTGTTTTAGGTCTTGCGAAAACGTCAAGTTGATTTTCAACACTATCGATATCTCAGTTGCGTTATTGTATCACCAATGCATGGCAAATAAAGTCAGAGGCAGAATATATAAATTCGTGGAGACGTAACCAGCCTTATTTACCTCTCCTTTTTTCTTGTAAGCTGCCTATTACGATCAAAATAATGTTTGAGTTTTATTGTTAAGCCACTATTGCACGAAGGAAGGACGATGACAGTGAGGATCATGTCCCCAAAATTTTGGTACAATTTTCATTTACATTCGTCATCTTTTATCATTTAATAGACAATCGACCTCGCAACAATTGACATATTGCGTGACCGCGAGAGAGGAATCCCACGGTACAATGAATTCAGAAGACTGATAAATCTCCCTCCCGCTGCCACATTTGAAAAGCTTACAAGAAATAAAAAGCACCAGGTGCTACTCAAGGAGCTGTACGACGGCGATATCGAGAAAGTAGACCTGTTGATAGGTTGTCTTGCAGAGGACCCTTTACCAGTTGGGTGGGGTTTTGGTGATACACCTTTCAGAATATTTGTTACTATGGCCACTCGGAGAGTGGAGGCAGACAGGTCAGTGACAGTTAACTTCACAAAGAAACGTCCTTGCTTTGATGTTTGTTCCAAACCTCAGTGAATTAATAAATAAAGATTGTCGCAATTAAGAACATGATACCATTTCATTCACGTGTTTGTATTACCCTGTTCGCGAACGAGCCAGACGTTCTGTCAGTAGATTGGCCCCTTTGCGCAATTTTAATCGTGCGTCGAAAGTGACCCAGGATTGCTTTGCTTTCACTGTGCATTTGCATCAGCCCATTAAATAGAAAAATAAAACAAATTGCGACTTGTTCACTTTTTTAAGCACGCTTCATGCAGTTTTCTTATCCTTGCAGTTATGAAGTGTCACTGGTTCATTATTACATTTTTCATTGTTCACTTTGACCATTGGATAACCTTAGTTTTAGTTTTGCGACACTCAGTGGTAGCACAGAGTGAAAAATGAGGCAGACTTGGGAGACATTTGAAAAACGAGCGAGTCTACTAGCAAGTGGCGAGTTTGTATTAAAATGTGTTCACGATCTCTCATCTGTCTCCACCAAGATCTTAACAAAAGAAATCTGTTCCTACCTTTTAATAATTATTATTGAAATATGCTATCTACTTTGTCACTTTTTCTCTCTGTAAAGCGAAAAGACACGGTGTCCATAATGGTATGTTGCGATACAGGATAATGACGATGGCATTTATTTTCCAGGTTTATGACGGACAATTTCAACAACGAGACTTACTCGCCCGAAGGCTTGAAGTGGATTAAAGACACAAACATGAGGAAAGTACTTGTACGCGCATTTCCTGAGATGGAATGGCTGAATGCAACCATGGCTAAAACCAAGAACGCCTTTTGGCCTTGGCCTGCGGTACCTGTCGATTCGTTAAAAAAGCGAGAAGTTTGAATGCAACTCAACAAAACAGCTCGGGCTATGTAGAGGGTAGATGAAAAGTTTCTTGTGAGATTTAAGGAACAAATAAAGAAGCCATAATGAATTTCCACGAGTTTTTGAGTATTTTTCACTCGTTACATAGAGTGTAATCTCAAATTCAAAAAAGTTCAGCCAAATGGTCGAATTTTGTTTAGGACTCTACTACGGCTCGGGTAGCAAGAGGCGACTTGATAAATTGCCTTTTCTCCTGGAGAAAATTATATTCTATCACCGCTGATCCCTCAGGATTTTGTTCCCTGACATTTCAGCGGCTCCCATTTATAAGTTTGGTTGACATTAAAAAATTATTGTTAAACACTATAACTTAAATGGTCTGCACGAAACTCGAGCCCAAACTCTTCGGTCCTTAATCGAACGCGCTAACTGCAAGTTTTGGGTCAGTTTAAAGCAAGTGAATGGAAAGAAGGCTTGAGAAAATACAAAAGTATATCAAGTTAGCAAAATTTAGTTCCGTGCCTCGTTTCTAACAACATTTCAATTTTCAGTACTGAAAATTATCGGATACGTCACATTACTAGCTTTGTGACGAAGCAAGACGTAATGTAGGTTACCAGTCTTTTTCAAACGTACACCTAAGAGTACATATATCGAACACTTTCAGTTCATTTTCTAGTTTTTAAGCATCAACTGAACAGAGATGGCAAATGAAGCAATATCGTAACACAGATTAACATACAAGGGGCAGTAACTGTGAACTCCACCAGAAGAGAAGTCTGAGGTCAAAGCAGAAAACACTAAAATGGCCCACCTGTTGATGGGTTTAAAAGTTGAGTGGTTAAAACAGGTCATACCTGCCCTAAGTAAAGTCAACAAGCATCGTATTTTTTTTTTGTTCGAGGCTGAAATTCTTCCATGAATTCATGGCAGGTACTACATGAGTGTACTTAAGAGAATAAAGAAAATGATCAGTAAAGAGCACGGGTAAATCTTAGACAATAAACTTTGTGCTCGAACCGCAATTATATCGTGTATACGATATCAGATGTCAGTAAATGGATCTTTGCCGTCAGAAGCTGAATCCAGTGTAACAATATTCACGTTATCGAGAATTGTTCAGTTAACGTGTTTCACACAAAGAAAAGAATGGACTTCAGGCATCTCTGCAGGAGATTTTTATTGTGAAATTCGACATCTTCGCTTCGATACCAACGCTGCCAACAAAAGGAATACTACAATTAACATCGGCCACGCGATTCACATTGACTTTTGAAGTAAGTTTGGGATAATAGAGTATCAAAATTAAAAGAGCTCGGTTCATTTTCATCAATTTTTCACCGTTCTGCTTGAAGGCCACTAGAACACGAATGGGCTCACCGTGCGTAAACAAGAGACCATAGGTAGGTGTCTAACCATTACAGACCACTATCGCAAGGAACTCTTTACGAGAGAAAAGTTATAATATGCGATTTGTAATTTCTATTCCATGTGAATTCTCAGGCAAATGTCGAATAACTAACAAAAATTTTATTCTTGTGTCAAGTCTAACTTTCAAAAACCGCTTACGAGGAAAATGTACATAATTTAGGCAGAAAAAATTAACGTTATTAGAGGGGAAAAAACCGTTTTCATGTCCTGTCACGAGCGTGGAATCTTAAGTCAGGCCTTCGGGTCTTACGCTCCGATGCTCTACCACTGAGCCACAGAGACTCTGCGGTGAGTTAGATTATTACGAGGTCATTGTGCCACACGCTTCCGGCTCGCTGTTAGGACCAATAATGTGGAAAGCATCATGAGTCAGTGTAAATAGAATAACAAAGTTCAAAGATCTCACGTTTGTTCAGATAATTATGGGATAGGAAATCATGCGAACTACCCTTCATTTCAACTGAGCGACAAACCCACCTGCTGTGAACGAGGAAAATTCCTGTCATCTATCTCACTCTGTACCTTTTTTTATTATTCTATATCTTTATTTATCCATTCTTTTATCAGAGCGAAAATCACTCGTGGCCTCATGAGTTAGCTTCAGAGGAAAGATGGTATTTATGGACGTTCCCGCCATTCTCATGCTGTTGGCTGTAAGTGCTCAGCTGTTGGGAACTACAGGTAAGCGGTGGACAGTAAATAATATTTACCACTGAAAAACTTTTTCATCCCATTTAAATACCTCCCCCCTTTGAGGTCAAAGCCTATCTAAGAATTATTCAACGGCACTCATCTATTCTAGTAGACAGAAGAGCTTTATATTTATGATCTCTCTTATTTCCAAATAGAACGCTTTCGCCTAGTCTTATAATTATACAGGGCTCTTGTCCCCTATGGAGCTCTTGTCCATGTATGACTTTGCTCATCAGAGGGCTCCTTGTAAGTTATTTAGTAAAGAGATATACCTCAAAATCAGTTTGAACTGAATGAGGCTCAGATTTCCACAGACGTCGTACTTAGCAAAAATTTGATGTTTTTTGATGTCTGAAACGTTTATTTTATTTTTTCAATTTATTTTTAGATTCGGTTGAACGATGTAAGCGGTACCCAAACCCAACGCACGGGCGCGTGGTTTGTGACAGCTTGTTTCGTTTGTTTTGTGCTCCCGAGTGCGATGATGGTTTTGTGTTTGAGTCAAAGCCTGCAGTGGTGTACATGTGTGGACCTCTCACCGGAGAGTGGTTCACTTATCCCGAAGGACAAACTATCCCCTGGCCTAATTGTCTGAGAAGAAAAAGGTAAATCAAACCTCAGTGAAAGGTTGTATTAGACAAAGGGAATAAGTATCAGAAGAAACTCTGTTGCTGCGCAGGTGGGACTATATCAAAGTAATTTGGTTAATCTACTAAGTTAAAAGTGTAATTTGGACGCCGTAAAAAGTTTCCATAAAATTGAAGTTTCGAGTGTTAGCCCTTTTTTGTTATAAATTTTTGTTAGAGATTATTAAGGATACAAAAAGAAATTTGAATTATTGACAAGGAAGCAAAATTATGGATTTTCCATTTGGGCCTGGAAGGTATAAATAGCAATAAACAATGTTCAGGTGTCTTTCGCTTATAATTTATTTAGATTTTCGAGACCGATTTAGTTAGGTACTCACTTATTCGGTTGGAAAATATTAAATCAATCACATTCTTGATTTAATATCTACTTGATAGGCCATACTTTTTCTGTCAACACTCTTCTTTTCTCGTTAACAGCCTAGAAAGTACAACAACAAAAGATCTAACGGCCCGCAGAGCGCAGATTGCTGCGAAAATTCATCAGACCTATCAAGCGATTTTACCAAACAATCAGCAAATGCAACTTGTGCAGACTGGTCAACAAAACGCCAGGTGAGACTTGCAGTTTTGAAGTATCTCATATCTGCCTCGTTAAGTTTTCCTAACTTCCAAGGGTGAATTCTGAACAAGAGATCTGAAGAAAATGTAATGGTATATGATGAATTTGTTTGTTTTAGTGGCCGGTTAGCTCACTCTCTGTCATTTCTTTTTAGGCTGACGTACTGTCAGAGTTGTTTGCTTTGTCAGCACTAAGCTTAAGTGCTTAAGTGCATCGTTTTAAGGTTTAAAATGAAAAATAGAAAGGATACGAAACATTCCCTTATTTCTTGCTTATCAAACCTTCTTTAAACTACGCAGGAAAATGAGCCGAATTTCCCAGACTATAGCCATCAATAAAAAAACTGGTCCGTTTCGCAGTGAGCTTAACACATTAATCATATATATATATGTATATATAAATGTGGGGGTAGAGTCTACCTTGGCATAAAGTGCTCAATGCTGTGGTAGCAGAGCTGAGTATATGTAAGTGAAAGAATCAAAGAGGCTCTGTCTGACGAGCGCTTAGGCGTGAAACTCAGAGTAACAGAGAATCGATGCGTCTTCTTTGATTCTTTCACTTATATATATATATATATATGTATATATTTATATATATATATATATATATATATATATATATATATATACATATATATATATATATATATATTTATATTTAACAAATAGATTCCAAGTTGCTGTGCGTCTGTTAAGTAATAGATCACAGATGACGTCAAAATGTGGTAAGAACATTTTGACGTCCTCTGTGATCTATTACTGAACAGACGCACGGCAACTTGGAATCTATTTGTTTTATATAATAAAGAATTAAAAAAAAGTTTTAATGATGACTTCATCTATACGTCTGGCCTCCAATAGATCATTAGTGAGAACCAATCAGAATGCGTGCATAACTGAGCTTGTTATATAATATATATATATATATATACACATATATTTATATGTACACATATATATATATATTCTATCTGTAGGGAAGTGTAACCTGCTTGAAATAAGACTGTTCTCAGCTCTCCACCAGACACTTTGAATTTGATTTTTCCGTAGATACATTCATCTATTTGATTACATTCAGCGTGCCCAGCAGGTATACAGTGATAAACGAGCTCTTCCCACTCTGGGACTTAAAGCCCTAGAAGTACAAAAACAGCAGCAGCTAAAAGTACAACAGCAACAAAGACAAAAGCAGCTAGCACGATTCGAACAGCTGAGCCAAAAACAGAAGGACATGCAGCCACAGTTGTCGAGCAAACGATTTTTTACGCCGATGCAAGAATTAAGAAACCGCTTGGATCAAAGCTCTCCCCAAGAAATGGTGGACAAACAACGCCAACAGCGAGAAGCGTTCGAGTTATTGGATACAAATAATTATAACGTGCAAGGTATGAGTGCGGAGAGAATTTCTACGAATCAAAATTTACAAGGAAGTTTTCAACCGAGGACTGTTCTTGGGTCCAAGACTGTGCCACCAATACGTGGTACCTCGGTAAGCGTTCTTTATCCAAAAACTCCTCAACAATTTTACCCAAGACCCAGTATTGACAGAAAAATTCCGACAAGTTCCAAAGTAACTACCTTGGCAGCTTCAGAGCTAAACCAGCAGCAAATCAATCCAATATTGGAAACATATTCACCTAAGGGTCTTACCTATACTACGCTGATATCATCAGCGGTTGACAGAGAGGTTTTGGACAGAAGTCGAGCGACAGCTACTGAAATCATGCCACGTTTGGCCTCATGGCAAGCTGCCTTGTCTCCTCCATCGCAACGGTCAGAATTTCAAAAAAAATCAAAAGCCTTAGACCAAAATCTCAAACATCTGACTTTGCAACCGCTTAAAGATAATCAGAAAAACGTTCATTCACCATTTTCCAACGAAATCACATCCCTTGGAGTTAACACGAAACGTCTCAGCCAATCACAAAACAGAATTCAAGAGCAAGTGGAAAGCCCCGTAGCTGCTCCTCTTAGCAATTCAGGATTTAGCAAAGTATCATCAATACGGAATCAAAATGTCCAAGACGTCAATCTCCAGCCTGTTAAAGTAAACGGCGAAAAAGCCGATTCCTCCATTATTAATGAAACAAAGTCTCTCGGAATTAATGCGAATACTATCAACCAATCACAAGACAGAGTCCTGTCACTTACAAGAAGCCCATCATATGCTTCCTCAAGGAAGGGATCCAATCTACAGTCTTTGCAAAAAACTGAGGGTCCACTTCAGCAGTTCTCAGTTAAACCAGCTACTTTAACTTTACAAGCAAAAAATAGGAGCACGTTGGGTATGCAATTAAGACTTCCGTTAAACATAACGTCACCATTAGCAAAACAAGGATACTTGAAGGATGCAGTAAAAGGTCATCCGCATGCAAAATCCGCAAAAAAAGAAAAGTTGTTTTATTTTCCAATCAAAAGAGACACTTTAATAAGTTTGTTACCTATGCATCTTCAAGCGAAATACAGATCTCTTCGTGATACCAGAAATGAAAACTCAACGCAAATAGTATCCCTCAGCAAAAGTAGTGAAAACTCAACAGTAAGAATGGAAGACATAAAATCGCCAAATATTTCACTAAAAAATGGTTTCCATATTTCACAATATAAATACTCTGTTGAACAAATCAAAACAGGAAATGACAGTATAACTGAATATTTTTATTTACCCTCGAAAATGACGGCAAAAATAGCCAAAGCCTCTAGCGTCAACAGTTCCGTAAACGACCACTACTCCCTCAAGAAAGATTCAGTTGGATCAGAGGACGGGACCGACTAGCTGATTCGCAACAAGATAAAAAGATACGTATACCTCTGTTACATCTACCTTTTCCCGCGCCATGCGAACAAGGAAAAGGATTATAATAAATTTACTGATGAAATCATCGTGTATTCATTGGCCTGGTAATTTCTTGATGAAGCATGAGTCAGACATACAAACTTTGAATTGAAACACAGGAACCTGTTTTTAAGTAGCACATCTGATATGACGATAACAATTACGGTAATCAAAGAGGAACTGGATCAAATCGCTTAAAATGTACTGACCATTGGCTTTTTAATGTAACTGCTCCAATCTGGTGCATATCTATCGCTATCAATGACCTCGGAATTACCTTTTAAAAGACGTAATATAAACTCCCTACTTATTCAGAAACCTCTCTGTATTTTGAGTACGTCGCTTTTGAAAAGTCTTTGCGAAGCAACCGTGGGAAATCTTTGATAAATTGACGATTTAATTGTTGAACTTTGTTTAAAATGATGACACGTTCAAACCTACTAAACGCTTGTAGCGGGTATTTATTAATATTTTCCTTATTGCAAGTTTTCTTAAAAACGTTAGCGTCAACCTGCAACTAGCAATCTCGAAGAAGTCAGTGACATACTCCTTCATTTGCATGAGCGCGTTTTCGAGATTTGGATGAGTTTGTTCTCAACCATTGTCAAATACACCTCATTATGTCCTGATTAAATAAGCGAACTGCTGGTATCTCCTGTTTACATTATGAGCCTTAAAAAGTCCTTTCCTGTTTTATGTCTCAAAAATAGTTAAGAAAAAGTATAGTTTCTCTATTTCATAGGTGTCTTTTTCTCTTTCAGTTTTTACTGTTAATCTAAACAACATAAGATAATTTACAAGATAATTTACTTGCTAAATTTACAATTTAATTTGACTCAGGAGGTGATCAGTTCTCGAAAAATAGCCACAGACATCATAGGAGTAAACTTTATCTGAATAAAAGTGAATCATGGCTAGTTGACAACTATTCACCGAATTAGCGGTGGCTAGTGATGGATATTTACCGAGTCGCGAGGCTAACCACCGATAGCATAGACTAAAAAAGTGAGATAATATAGCACAAAATGAAGATTTTACTTCATTTATTCTTGCAACCATCACAATATTTTTCGGGTGCAAATCCCGCGTGAGTTGCGTTGAATAACAAGGGATATTCTGAGTTTGAGTGGTCAATCAGAGCGCTTCTTCAGCGATATCCACTTTGTTTAGTACATACTTTTACATGATATGGCTACATGGAAGTAAAAACGGCATGTGGCACAATAGCATATAGATACTTGAGATAGAATACAGATACAGATGCTTGAAATAAAATATCCTATCAACTTGAAACAATTTCATAGCAGCTGACTTCAGTGACAAATTTTCTCTATTTTAGTTTTTGTGTGAATCAGATTTTATCTACGGCTGATGAATATCAAAGAATCATGCTTTGTTGCTGCTTTGATCAGCTTTGTTTTGCCGCGATACAAATTTCTTTTCACCCATAAGATTGCAAAGTTAAATGTTTTTACAATTATTGAAAGAAACGAATCAGTAAACAAAATCTTTTGGAGGTTGCGCCGGTTGTTTAGACAGCCAAACGACGCTAAAAGAAATGAAAAATTCATGTGTAAAAAGCTGCCTGACCTGCGGGCATTCACTGCCCGCATTCCCATTTATGTTTACAGGGGTATTAGTCATAAATATATTGATACTTGAAACAAGATAAACTTTGATCTCAAAACGTCCAAGCATCATGCTCCGATTGACGTTAATTTTATCTTACATGTTTGCAGTTCTTACGTCGGTGGAAGGTGGGTCATACATATATAATTGCCTTTACCTAAAACGTGACCGTGAAGTGAAAGCTTTCCTACTATGAAAGAGAAAATGATTCAAATAGGGAATGAAAGGCAAAATCAAAAATTGACGATGATGGAGAACATTCATATAGATTCAAATAAAGATTTGACTAGCTTAAAGGCCGACCTCCTCAGGCTGTAAGAAACGTGACTTTTATGAAGATGTCTTGCTTTTTTTCTTTAATTTTTTTTTAATTTTTGGAAGCAGGAACCTGCGGTAACCGTCCACGCACACGAATAGTCGGAGGGCGAGAGGCCATAGTGAACTCCTGGCCATGGCAAGCTATGATTACAACTTCCAGAGGAGGACAATTTTGTGGGGGATCATTAGTTCATTCAAACTGGGTCTTGACTGCTGCACATTGTGTGAAATCACGGAAACCAGAGACAACTCGTGTCAGGTGATAACATTTCGCAACTGTGACCAGTTGCCATTTAGCCATGGAGTCGTTTCATCTGTCATAACCGTTACAAACAGCCGTTTTATCTGTCCTAATTTTTGCAAAATATTGTTCATGCTGCTGAATACATAAAATCATAAAACGCGGGAAGAAAGGCCAATTAAATTTTTAAAAAAAACAACTATTTCTCATCCCCGTCTTGGAGCTATCTTCATTATTAAATTGTAGGCCAGAAAAATATTCGCCCCACCCGTGAGAAAGGATGATGATTCTTCTCTTTTGTGTTCGCTACTTATAGGGGGTAGGAATCAAAGGAAAACAATGAAAAGTAAAAAAGAAAAAGAATTAACTGATTACGTGTCCTTAGACTATGCAAATAATGTATGTTCAATTAGCGAAATGTGAAATAATAGCTTTTCCTCCTTCCAGTTACATCAAGGGAATATTCTGTTAGTTACATTCATAAACCAATGGATAACAAATAGTTGAGTTTGTCGTTTGCAGAATGGGAGCTCACTCAAAATACAAAAAAGTTGGAACGGAACAAGACATCGATGTGGAAGAAATCATAGTCCACTCTAGCTATAACAAGCCCACAAAGGAAAGCAACGATATCGCTCTATTAAAACTCAAAAAGCCTGCGAAGCTTGGAAAAGGTGTAGGCCTCGTGTGTATGCCAGACCCTGGACTTCCTTTGCCGGTCGATGACGTAAACAGAAAGTGCTGGATAACCGGCTGGGGGCGTTTGTCCGATGGCGGACAATCAGCAACAAACCTAATGCAAGCCGACCTACCTCTCTACTCACACGATCGTTGTAAAGGGATGCTTCATGGCTTTGACGAATCAATGTTGTGTGCTGGTTTTGACGAAGGCGGAGTTGATGCATGCCAAGGAGACAGCGGTGGGCCGCTGGTCTGCGAATACAACGGCAAGTGGTATTTAGAGGGTGCCACAAGCTGGGGATATGGGTGTGCTCGTCCTGGTTATCCTGGAGTATATGCTAAAGTACGTCATTTGATGTCATGGGTACACGATCAGACCCAGGGTGAAGTCATGCGTAAGTCTATTGGCTTATCAATCAATTGTAGCTTTATAATCTCTTGAGTGAGAAAAAAAATAAGATCCTTTATTTAAACACGTTGAGAATGAAAGCATCACATACTTGAGGGGTCGTGTATATCTGGCCGATACCTAATTTATCTACAAGCAAAAGTGGATTCAATAAATAAAATGAATAAACAAATTTAGATATAAATACATGACAATGTAAAGTGTACTTTTGTAATCTAAGATAAGTTAAAATTGAAAATCAAAAATTAAAAATCTAAAAATCAAAAGTCGGGTATCTTTTTCGCTACCGACTGTGTGAATGAGCTGGTAAATCTGATTTCCCTAAATGTGGGATGAGATTTTACCTTTCTATAAAATTACATAGAACTTAAAGAGTCGTTTAAATAGTCGGAGACAAAGTTTGACAAAACAGCGCTTCTATAACAAATAGAATTTTTCATAGAATCGGTGGAAAATCGCGGAATAACGGCCTTATTATGTCTTCTTAGGTTATACAGACTATTTCGCCATACATCTAAATTTCAAACCATTGAGGGTTTACATTATCACTATGTTGTGAAATAGTTTAATTTGCAACTCTAACTACTGTAAGTAGCCATGAGGAAAGGCTACTTTGTCCATCTACTCCGCTTACCAAAACACTTTTTTTATTGTTATGATTTTTGTCTTCTTTCTCTATCAAAGCTTCCAATTTTCACGAGAAGATAATTTGTCAGGACGAGAGAGAGAAAATTAGCTGCAGTGGAAGGAAAATAAAAGTACATTCCGCTTACTACGGAAGAACAAAGTTTTATTTATGCGGAATGGGGCTTAATACAAATTGCAAAGCATCTGGGTCCCAAGGAAAGGTAAATTAAGTGAAAATATTAATATCTCTGCAACAAATTAATGTATACCTACCTACACCTTAATCATATGCATTCTTTAAGTCGTGAAGTTAATCAAATTTAGAAAAAGTACAGTTAGCAATAATGCATCTCGAATAACGATAATAATAATGATAATAATAAAGATAATTGCGATAATAAATATTTAATTATTTTTGGCATAAATAAAGGAAAGATGAAGTGCGATGCTAAACTTTATCAATACCAAATGGTCATTGGTCATCTCAATAGTTCCTTTCCTTGTCTTAGAAGGTTGGGAAGGTGGGAGGGAGGAATAAAGGGTTCTTGAGAGTGATAGTACAAGTGGTTTGGTCTTGTTATCTTTTTTGCTTTGTTTGGTTGTTTTTGTCTATTGTGTTTATTGTAAGCTTAAAGTGGGAAATAGATTAGAATATGAAAAGCTAATGTTTTTTTGATTTTTTTCTCGTTCTAAGATCACTCGAGCTTGCGATGAAAAGGAGTACTGTAATCTTTACGCTTCCAACGATGTATTTGGAAATCCATGTCCAGTGATTTCATCAAAGTACATTTACATCAAATACTCTTGTGAATAAAATGTGGGTAAGAATGGATAGTCCACAATCTGTAAATAAGATTCTTAAATAGCTATGATGAAATTACCTGAACAGCCATCCGTAGCAGTAAAATGGCCTAAATTTAACTATCAGCCCTAAAAGCCATCATCCCATTAATTGAGACAGTCATCAGTCAGTATGCCAAACCAACACTTCGTAAGTCTGTCATTCCTTCAGTCAGTCAATCATTTTTATTCAAAGGGTCCTTTTTTAATCTCTATTTTTTGATTTCTTTCAATCAGTGACTGTTTAAA